GTGTGCTTATTAAATAATTTTTTAAAGTACACATACAATAGGATATATAACAAAAATCACAGTGTCAGGCAAAGGAAACCTCCCTTTGAGTTGTTGGTCAGGGTAGTCCAAGATATTCCCAATGTGGGTTTTTCCCTCCCCTCAAGGGCCTTTGGCCACCGATCCACGAGGACAAAGGGAGCAGAAGTGATGAGTGGGGTCAGGACGGCCAGTGAGCATGACAGAAAAGACTTTCTGGGGAGTCAGATTCAGTGATACAGCTCGTTGCCCTGGACTTCGAGCAAGGGATGGCCACTGCTGCATCTTCCTCCTCCCTGGAGAAGAGCTATGAGCTGCCTGATGGCCAGGTCATCACCATTGGCAACAAGCACTTCCGAGGTCCCAAAGGGTTCTTTCAGCCTTCCTTCCTGGGTATGGAATCCTGTGATATCCACGAAACCACCTTCAATTCCACCATGAAGTGTGATGTCGACATCCATAAGGACCTCTATGACAACACAGTGTTGTCTAGTGGGACAACCATGTACCCTAGCATTGCAGACAGTATGCAGAAGGAGATCACTGCTCTGGCTCTCAGCATGATGAAGATCAAGATCATTGTTCCCCCTGAGCATAAGTACTCCATGTGGATTGATGGCTCCATCTTGGCCTCACTGTCCATCTTCCAGCAGATGTGGATCAGCAAGCAGGAGTAAGGTGAGTCTGGCCCCTCTATCGTCCACCACAAATGCTTCTAGGCAGACTGTTAATTAACTGAGTGAGCTGTTACATCCTTTCTTGACAAAACCTAACTTGGCGGAAAAAAAAAAAAAAGAGAGAGACAACATTGGCATGGCTTTACTTGTTTTTTTTTAATTAAAAAAAATTTGTTCTTTTGTTTTGGTGCTTTAGGCCTGGTGGTGCACATCTTTAATCCCAGCTCTTGGGAAGCAGAAGCAGGCAGATATTTGTGAGTTCGAGGCCAGCCTGGTCTACATAGTGAGTTCCAGGACAGCTGGGGCTACAGGGAGACCCTGTCTCAAAAAGACAAAATAAAAAAAATTAAAAAATTTTTAAAAAGAAAGAATTTTAAAACTGGAATTCTTAGTATCTTGAACCCTGCACATTCAAGAAGTCACTTTGGAATCATGCAGCTTAAGGGCTCTGCTGCCCTGTCCCTATTGCATTTATATTTGTTTCCTGGTGTGGTTCCCTGCTCAGGGGTCCACCTATCTCATCTTGAGATATGGTGAGTCATCCTCCCTTATTTGTAAAATAAAGACGTCTGGAGTCAGAAGGAACTAGGTCAGAAGGCTGGCTTTGTGACCAACAACAGTTTACTCAGTCTTTCTGTGTCTCCGTCTCTCCATCTGTAAAACAGAAAATCATAACATTTGGTATTTGTGAGATGTCTGCAGAACTCCCCCAGCAGCATCCCTGTTTTCAGCTAGGCACCCACCAAGTGTTATTAACTATCTTCATTTCATGGATTGTTTCTGGAATCCGTCTGGACTCCCCTGTCTCCCTAGTCCTTGTGATTTTCATTGAAAGAATTCAGAGGTGACCCACAGAGTACAGGGTACAAGACAGAGTTTATTGCAAAGCAAGCGCCTTCCACTTCCGCAAAGGGGAGAGCAGACAGTACAAAGAGACCACTGCCCCAATCTACACAGCAGGCAGGCTTCTTACTCTATTATCTCTAGAACAACAAACCCTCAACTTTCCTTTGAGGCCTTTGTTCTGTTCCATGATGGGAAAATGTGTTTGGATTAGCTCCCACTGACTCTTCAGGTAGAGGATCAGTGATGCATATCTCAGAATGTTGTTTTTGTTCTTTATTGAAAGGTTTCCAGTTATCTAAGAATCTCATAAGCTTCAGGACTTCATGGAGCCTGTTTTCAAATGGTTATTCATTATTCAGGCAGTTGAGGTGGTCACTTCAGCCTAGGAGGTCACTTTTCCTCCCACATAGAGAAAAATGATTCTGGTCCCAATTTTCTGATCGTTAACAACCAGCTGTTCCTGTCCTTTGTTTTACAAGCTGAAGACTATGAGGGATGGTACAGCCCAAAGTCCTCCATGCCTGCTAATATCTAAACTACCTTACAGGGGCCACCTGCAGGTTCTGGGGACCCGAAGGGAGAGTTCAGCTGCCTGAGGGAAGAGCTGAGTGTGTGGATAGAAGGGTCTCAATTCGTTTGAATCAATTGTGTGGTTGATATTTTCACCTGTGCTGGGTCCCACTGCAGCTCCACTCACCTAGGATACCTGCAGTAGGGTCCCTGGTGTATTTTTGTTGTTGTTGTTGAAGTGATCCTGATTCTTGGCACTTTGAAGCCCAGAAGTGCTTTCTGAGGAACCCCAGGACCTTAGTGCCTCTGGGCTACTGCCCCACTCCAGCAATTTCCCATTCTACTGGACTGGGTTGGTGTGGGTCTCTTCTTCCCTTCGAGGGCCGTGAGCCACCAATCCACGAGGAAGGAGAGACTGCCGAGCCTCAAGGGTGGGATGGCCAAGGCAAAGCTGCCGCTACCCTCTTGTAGAGAGGGCGTACTCACAAACTCCGCGTGTTCCTAGGAGCCCCACATTGGGCGCCAGCTGTGGGTCTCTCCCTCCCCTCATAGACCGTTGGCCACCGATCCACGAGGACAAAGGGAGCAGAAGTGACGAACGGGTTCGGGATGGCCAGTGGGCACGGACAGAAAAAAAACCTTCCGGGAGTCAGATTCAGTGATACAGCTCCGTTTACTCAGTGGGGGTCAGGGAAAATATAGTGTGGAGGCAGCGGCCAAAGCTTCAGCTGGTAGGTGCTCATAGTGTGCTTTATTTACATGTGGTAGGGGGATCCTATCATCCGACTATAGGGCAATGCCTAATTATCATATAGAAAAAACCTGGGGGTAGTTTTATTGCAAGTAACTATGCCAAAGGTCATGTTCCAAATAAGGGCAGGCATCCATGTTTGCTGGCACTTTCCAAGTAAGTCAGGCAAAGAGCAGGAGGCCTCCACTGCGAAAGGGAGTCCTTCCATATAGCACTGAGTCCCTTGGAGCTATCTGGACATGGTGGACAGCAACCTTAGCAGCAGGGTCCCCCAACATCTCCCCCTGTTTTGTTTTATAATGGAGAAGTGTCATCACAATCTTTAAGAGCCAACTCATCTATCTCTGGAGAATCCAAAGTTTGATAATGGACCATGACCTGATTGGTAGTAATTTTTGCAATGTAGTAATTTATAAGAAATTATATGAATCAGGGAGCAAGCATCAAAATAACATAATTGGGGGCTATTGTTATTGTAGGGAGCAAGCATCAAAATGACACACAGCATGATCAGGGGGCTAACAAAGGGTAGGAGTCATGAAAACAAGGGGTTACTAAACCAACCTAGTTGTTCAGTGGGTTGAAATCTTGAAAATAGATCGTTATGAAGTTTTTTGAAAGTATTAACATTAGTCTCAACAACATTTGATTTATTTACAAAAAAACAGCATTCCTCTCCCACTACTACACACATCCCCCCTGTTCAGCTGTTATTAAGTCTAGTGCTGTTCTGTTTTGGAGCACAACCCCAGCAAGAGAGTTCATTTGTCGTTGGAGAGATTAAAAAATTTTTAAAAAGAAAGAATTTTAAAACTGGAATGGTGAAGGCAACAGCGGTCAGTTAGAGCAAGCATCCCCAAGTTCTACAATGCGGCTAGGACTTTGTACATTTTTTTAAAAAATGTCATTCCAAGTATCCCTGGTCACAGGAAGTCCCTCCCCAAAGCCACCCTGATTCCCAAAAGGAGGATGGCCCAGTCCACGCCTTGAGTCTATACAGGGGAGGCAACATCATTTCTTTTGTGTAAATGATGTACTACAATTTTTTTTTTAAATCTTCCTCCATATTACTTTTTTATATTTGTTTTTATTTTTGAATGGTCACCCATCTTGGCCCCCCTCTTTTTGTCCCCTTTCCTTTGCACCATAGAAAAAGAGGAGGTGTGATGCATGCTGTCTTGGAGAGAGTAATGTTAGTGAGGCATTTGTAATGAGTAGGCTTATTCTTGCTGGAAATGGAAATTGGATAGGTAGCCAGTTGTTTGAATAAGGGAATATCCATCAGATGAGAGTCGGTGAAATCTTTTTTTGTTTCTGGGTAAAGAAGGGTGGTATTAACTGGTACTGCTGTCAGTAAAGGTCTATTGCTGGTCTGTCAGTAGTGGATGCCATTGCCTGGTCCAGCTTGTTTTGAAAGTCTCCTGCCAGGTGATGTGTTTGTACAATAGCAGCAGTCACAGCACCTCCAGCACCCAGGTAGAGGGTGAGTCTGAGTCCCACTAGCAAGGGGATGAAGATTTCTCTCTGCTGGTGGGTGTGAAGGAGTAGGGCAGCCTCTTCTTCCTCGAATAGGTACACCTGGGGAGTAATCATTACAGGTACACAAAAGGTGGACAAAGAGGAGTTAACACAGTGTTGGGCTTTTCCTTAAAGGGTGGTGTTAACTGGTACTGCTGTCAGTAAAGGTCTATTTCTGGAAGCACAAAAGAAACAGTTAGAGGCATTAGGGCGGGTGGTGAAGGGAAGAAAGTTAGCAATATATTGAATGTATTGGTTCCAAGACATAGTTGATCTTATCTGGTCTTCTGTTTGTTTTTCCTGTAGAATAATACGTAATGTATTGGCTCCAGGACAGAGTTGATCTTATCTGGTCCTCTGTTCATTTTTTCTGTAGAATAATATTATGATGAGTTAGCACAGGCTTAGCTGCAGGTACAAGCTGTTGAGAGATATGAAAGTCAGCGGTAGGGAAGCTGGAGAATGCACCTGAGTAGAACTTTCCTGTTACTCTGACACGCCAGCGATTGTCTCATGGATCTGCAACGTATATTAGGGAATAGTCATGGTTCCCATAGAGATACTTATTATCCTTTAGGTAAATGGGTCTTTCCTGTCCTGTTATACCCTGATATCCCCTAGTTAATCCCAGTTCCACCCTACAGGAATTGAAATAGCAGCAGCCCTCATAGGTATCAACTTCCTTGAGACATGATGGATCTGTCTGTCGGAAAGGAAAGCAAACGTATTCGTTAGTTTTGTATCTGCTAGCATTTGGGTATATTATGATTTCTATGAGGTTTTGACAGCCCACTAGGGGGCAGTCTGTGGTTCTGATTATTTGACTTTTTCCTTGAAATGTTTCTCTGACATAAAATCTCCAGAGCATAGTATTAGGAGGGGTGGGGCTGGCATCCCAAGCCTGCAGGGCACATAAGCAGATTTGCTCAATACATCCAGTGGGAATTGCAGCTTGCTGGATTCCTGTGGAGAAGTTGCCCTGACCAAAAAGCTGGTCATAGTTCCAATCTATGAATCCAGGTGGTGGATCCTGTCCCTGTTGCGGTCTTAGCTGTTGATTATGAGTGTCATTTCTTTTAGCCTGCATCAGGCATTAATCTCTAAATAAAGCTTCCCATTGTACAAATAATGGACTGGGGAGACTGGATCTACAGATATCTCTCCAGTCCTGGGGGGTTAGGAGGTTAGTATTAAAGCTTTGTACATGGAGCATGGATCCCATCCTCACAGACAGCTTGGCATAGTTCTTTTAAGTCTACTGCTGGGAGGGGGTACCAAGCCAGTGGACATTGTCTTGTTATTTGTAGGTTATCGGGGAAAGCTTCTACAGGCAGAGTTTTTGGGTCCTGAGGCCATTGTGGCTAAGGATCCTGGG